ACTACGACGACGACGACGACTACTGATACCACTGCCAATACGACCACGGCCAGTACTACTCCTGCTGCTGCTGCTGCTAAGGCCCAACCCTGGGCCTACCCCTCGCCTAGCCCTCGGCCTCACCCTAGGCCTTCCCCTAGCCCAACCCTAGGCCTTCCTGTAGGCCTGCCCTGCCTATCCCCGAGGCCCACTCCTAGCCTTGCCCAAGGCCTGGCCCGTGCCCAGTCCTAGCCTACCCCTACACTGGCCTAAACCCTAGCCAAGGTCCCAGGCTAGGCCTGCACTGGCCTAGAGTCGGAGCTTCTGTATGGGTACAAGTAGCATGGCAAACGCATGGCGCGCTCAGATTCTGTCAAGCTCTGCATTCCTGCTGGGACTGCTGGGAGTGGGACCTCCAAGACCTCCCTCACGTCGTTGAAGCCTTCAGCAGTTTCCTCTCGGAGCGGAGGTTGCTTCAGTGCTCCATGTGTTGATCATCCCCGAAACCTGTACCGTGCCAAGTAAAGGCACTGACCACACCTTGTCGGCTTCTCCAGAGTCAGCGTTTGCCGAGTTCGGTGAACCTGTCGAGGCAATGTGCTTGCTCTTGCACTCTTGGCTGACAGCCCTTTTTCAGACCATCTCGAAGTATCGTGGGGCAGGACATCAGCAAGCAATGGTTTCTTGGCCCGCAGCTTATCGATTTCGACCCATGTTTAGAGTCGCGTCGGCGCGGTACCAACTCAAACCACAATACAACACCCTCGTAAGGCCCTGATATGAACTCACTCCGACAACCTGCATGCGGGACAGTAAGTCAGTCATATGTAGTCATACATGACATTGCAGGCAACCAGGCATTTAGCCAGAGTATCAAGGCACTGCGGTCCTAGTGGAGCTGTATTGAAAGAGTGAGTCGTCAATCTGGCTCTCCCACAGAAACCATATCCCAGTACAAACAGGGCAGCTGATGCACGAGAGATCTTCAATCGGCACATTGGAAACCAGCCTTCCACCATCCGGTTGCAGTCTGCAAGCTGGGCATTCATCGCCTCTGCACCCCGCCCCCTGCCCTCACTTTCTTCCGCACCCTCGAAAACCTCCACTTAGCGGTTCCGCTTGTCTCGTATGATGCGGCCGTGAGATGACATCATCCTGTTCACTAGCGGCACCTTCTTCGACGGAATGGCGATCAGGTTCATCACCTGAAGCCTTGCCAGTTGGTCGAAGCTGGGGACGGGACAACGCCTTTTGGAGATGGGCCACTGCACAGACGCATACAGAAACACAAAGAGCTCCGTGCTCTGCATTATTAAGCTCCTGGAATTTAGCACAGATGCATTAACGCACCAACTCCGTCAATACAGAGCCCTCGATGCGCACATCTTGCCCTCAACAAACAGGTCAAGCCGGCAGCTCCCAACCACAAACCACTCCAGCGTCGTCGGCTGGCCTTGTTGGAGGGCATCAGGCTCGCAGCGTCCCATCGATATGTGCACAATACTTCTGAAAATCCCAGTTGAGAAACCTGCCTACGATGGATGAACTCGCGGAGCACATTTACAGCCTGACCGAAGCACACACCATCGCTGAGCACCCACAAAAGCTTATTCCGAGCAGATGGTGCCTGCGTGACCAACGCAAGTGCAACATGAACACGTCCGGAATCCTGCTGTTTCTTCGCTGACAGTTGTTGCGCCTTTTGGCCGTTGCCCTCAGCAGCGGCTGCCGTGCCATAACTGCAGGGGGACACAGACAGTCCGTGATCCACACGGAAGTGACAGTCGACCAGTCTGCCCCAAGCACAAGTTTAGCAGTCTTAGCAAGTACAGAAACCCTTTGAGCTCACCCTGCAGCAACACCACCGGCGCCGTCAAACACTCCAAGATGATGCACCAGTGCCTCTCCGACTCGTCGTTGAAGTATCGCAGCAGGGCAATATCCAAAGCTGTCCTACCCGAGAGTGACTGTTGCAGCTGCAGTAATCAATAACGAGTAAAACTTGCACAACTGCTGCTAATGGTGTCGTGATGTGTCGTGCCACCTGACTCGCAGAGCTCTCCCAGAAGTCCTTCCGTACACGTCTGCCACGTTGAGAGAAACATACCTGCAAAGCATGCGCGCTGTTTGAACTAGGTGGAGGCTCCTTGTGTGCCGCCCTGTTCTGGTTGTGAGACTTGCGTGCAAGACTCCACTGTGCTCACGCTTACCTGTTCGATCAGCGCCTCCGTTCTCTTCGCCACCACCCAGCCCTCGCACACGCCTTATGCCTCCACGTAGCCTCTCTCCCTACCCCATCCTCCAGTTCCCTTCCGCCGTCTTGGCACACTCGGCTTACGGCCACTTGCCGAGCCATTGCAGGAGAAACGAAGCTCATGATGCTTGCATCGGTGCCCATCTGTACAGCTGCTTCATCGCGGCTTGGCTCGCTTTTCGTCATCCCGTGGGGCTCTCACACCGCTCATCCCCATGTTTCTGACTTTTGATTGCCCATGGCGATGGAGCAATACTGAGAACGGAAAGATCCCCCGGGTCGGAGTCGGTCAGGACTCGATCGGTGTAGCTTGAGCACCTTCAATTCTACCGCCGTTGTAGCTCTACCAATGCGTCGTTAACAGCACTTCTGTGAAAGGATCCCCCGCCCTACTCGAGACGGTGGTGAATCTGGGAGGCCGGCTGCGGTGATGGCCCCCAGGCTGACATACTGCGATACCTCATCGTGAGGCAAAACTTGAGGAGAGCCTTACGGCTTACGGCATGTGTTGGGTGAGCGGCTGCTTGTTCATGGCCTCGACCTGAGGCAGACAGGCAAGCAGAGGCACTGGATCGCCACCGCTTGCGGACGTGTCGGGAGCGCAGGGTCCCGGGCCAGGCAGGAGATGAGATGCCAGTGCCCCATCTGGCAGGCCAGGTGTAATGGAGTGAAGCCTCGGCTGACGTTTGCAACGGCCCAGGCCCAGGAGACTTTGCACCTTGCAGTCGAAACACCCTGCGAAACAGTCAAAAAGTCCACTCTGCCAAGACTCCGAGGACACTATCCGGCGAGCTGCGGGCGCCCTGAGCAAAGAACAAGGAAAAGCATCCGGAGCGAAGCAAGCGAAGCACAAGAGTGTAGTCGAGCCTGAGCCACCAGAGCTTGAACCAGCTCAATGGAACCACGCTCCACTGCCTCTAATTAAAGCTCAAGTCAGGAGAAGGCATCCGAAGATTCAGCACAGCTTACGACTGTCCGAGGCACTGCTAGGAGAGGAGTCCAGCTGTCCCTGGGGCTGCGGACATCCACCTCGAGCACCAAATCTTCCAGAAGAGACTAAAGTGACAAGGCGCTAGGCTTCCAATCTACCCTACCCGAAGCGCATCCCATCCACCACCAGCTCCCCAAGCTGGGCCAACAAGCAAAGCCTCAGGTCCGAGCCGAGAAGTTATAGCTGCATAGAACCGAGATGAGCTGAAGCTTCCTGTCATCCGAAGCGCGCGAGGCATCCGCACTTCAATCCGAACATCGTCGAACCCAACGGCCAGGAATTCTAGTCCTCTGTGAAAGCGAAGAGTCCCAGCAAAGCAGGCAAAATCGAACCGAATCTCCAGCTCAATGGAGTACGAAACACACCGCGAAAAAGGTGTCAGAACAGCAGAAACTGAGTTATCGCGTCCTGCTGTTTTGACGGCTGTTGCACAGTAGAAGTAGCCATCAGAACGGAAAGACATGAAAATTGTATGCGTTCGCTGGGTTGACCGCAGTTTATAGTGTCAGCAACGCTCCAAGCCCAATGACATGGACTTCGAGTTTGCCGGAAGCAGGAAGCATGCACAGGCCCACCCCGGAATCTCGCTCTAAGATGCTGGTCGTGAGGCTTGGGGTGTTGCCGACCCCTGCCGCAGGCAACATCGAATGTTTATTGGATTGGGCCACCCGAAAGCGTTTGGAATCATGCCAGGCTCGCTGTTCTAGGCTGCCTTGCCCTCTCACCACCATGATCTTAGACACCCAAAATCAAGAGAGTCGTATACCCTCTGCTGCCACGAGTTGTTGTATCTGAGAGTGCAGCCATTGGTGGATCGCCTAAAGTGGAAGTGTCAATATCTTCCCACCTCAGCCAGCGGCAGTGTCAAAAGCACTGCCCTTTCACTTCACCTTGGGGTGATGAGCCCGAGAAGATGTTTGACTGAGGCAAGGGCCCAATGACTCCGAGTAACTCGCGGCGGGCCAGGTTGACTGCGACAAAGATAAGCAGAGTCGCTGCTCATGGAACTATCTGTTTATGAGGTGCTCGCGACAGGAAACTCGGGCAGAGACAGAGGGGGATAGCATCACAGACCGATCGATGAAGGGAGCACACACACATAAGACAGAAGCAACGGTGCCACAGATGAGCTCGGGTCACGACGAGGCGTCACCTGCGGGGCAGTGGGGTCGATCTGCAGTCGCCTGCAGGTCACCGCCAGAGGCGTTGCCAGAAGACCCGCCCTCGATTTGCCGAAGGCCCGCATGAAGCAGTTGCTACCTGTCTGGCTATGCCACCCCGGCCCTGCTCGTGCCCAACTCCGCTTTCACTTGCGTTGGCCGAAGCTCACGAGGCCAAGTGGTTTGCAGATGGGTTTCATGGCGACAACAGGCGGTATTGCACGGCAGCAACTAAAGCTGTGCAATGTGTGGCCTCGCTTTGTTGAGCTCCGTTTTCCGCTACATTACTGACAATCGCGGCACTGGCGCTGCCCTGAGTCGCGAGCTGGCGGCGCCCCCACAGGCAGAGAGCCTGGTCACACGAAAGGCAGTGCCCAACGCTAACTTCGGCACAGGGGAGACCACACCAGCGTCTCTTCATTCTACGAGTCCACTGCCACAAGCTGCCAGCCTCCACACAGCCCACCTGTCCTAAAGAGCAAGCCAAAGCCAGAGGCCTGGCATAGCAGGGAGAGATCAAAAGAGTCTGTAGCGACTCTTTTTTTGTGGAGGCTCGGCTCCGTTAACACGCACCACCTGCCAGTCTCTCCTTCAAAATGCCGGCAGAACGTGACCTCACCGTCGCTCCTCACAGTTTGGCAGGCATCAGCGATGTAGGGAGTGCTGCGGGCAAAAGTTGGGACATCCTTCTGATCGACTACACAGATCCACACGAGAAGCTCTATGCTCTGTGAGTGTAAAGACGCTTCAGGCTCTGAACACTGCAAGCTCGAGTCCTGGATGGGTCGGCACCTGCACAGCATCAGGACTTCTTCCTGGCAGACGACCACACCGCGTCCAGCCTGTGGAAGAGCTGGGAGGACCCGAACCCGGAGACCTCAAAGGGCAGTTGGGTGCTGTCGAAAGTAAAAAATCCCCCGCGAGCTCAAAAGCACTACTGACATGGGTTCCACACGGTCGGTCGTCTGCCTGCCAGGAACAATCACAGATGGCGTGGAACAGAGTCTTTGAGCGGAACAATCACTGTTCCGCCAGTCTAATCCTGTCCATTGACTGACGTTACGACCGTAACGAGACCGGATATATTCATGCGAAGGTAGCCAATGCTAGAAGTCTGTGCACAGCCGAGGCATGAGCACAGCCCAGCATAACTCTGAGACCCGTGCAGATGGAAGTCCCCGCCCTTGTCCACCTGACAGGCTAAGAAGCAATCTCTGCACAAAGACTGACATGGCTTGCAATGCTTGCAGCGACAAGACGGCAATTTTCGTAAGCGTATCGAACGAGCCGCAGGCCTCCTGGACAAGTATGCCACGCTCGCCACATCCAAGCAAAAGAACTCTGATTGCACGCTGAGGCCTGAGGCGGGATGAGGCAGGGGCCGCGGGGCCGTAAAATTCTGTACAAGGCCCCGAGCTTTGCCTCGCAAGGCCACGAGGAAGTAAAGGAAATCTCGGACGCTTCGCCGCTCATTCGAGTCCAGCGAACCAGAGGTCAGCGGTCACTTGACGCAGATGGTCTTCACGTTCACAAACTCCAGCATGCCGAAGGCTGCGCACTCCCGGCCTAGGCCTGAGTTTTTGACACCGCCGAATGGCAAGGAGGGGTCGGAGCGCACGAAGTCGTTCACGAAGCACATGCCGGCTTCGATCTCCTTCACAGCGAGATGCTCCCCCTGCCAGGTATCAGAGGGATCAGAAGTGTCAGAGCCAGATTCAAGTCAAACTCTTGCTGGACCGTTTCTGAAACTGGGTGCCAAAATCTTGCACTTCGCACCTTCCGCACATCTTTTGTGAACCTGGGTGCGTGAGCATGAAAGCAAAGGGCTCATGTCGCGTGTGGAACTCCTCTTTTCTTTCTGCAGGCGGCTGAGAAATTAATCCCAATATGGGGCCCCATATGGCTTTGCCTAACATTTGCGAAGAGGCATGCAGCTTACTCGTGCAGGCAGAGAGCACAGCTCCCGCAAGGCCATAACTTGTTTGATTCGCGAGCCGCAGGATATCCTCCTCGTCTTCGGCCTCTGCAACTCCAAAGTGTCCAGACTATGGACTCCGAGTGGTCGGTTGCCGTGCACTGCAGCTGGGACTCACAGCGGCTTTGCAGCTTGGTGCGGCTGTCTAGAGGCTCAAAGTTAATTTCCGTTTGGCCTCAATGATGGCGATGACAGGCCCAAAGATCTCGGTCTCAAAGGCGGTCATGCCTCTTGCGACAAGCGGCAAGCCCTGCGGCTACTCTTCCGAGACCAACCTGGCTTCACGTCGGTGAGCACGGTGGGCGGATAGAACGACGTACCACAGTCGCCGGTCGGTGGCTCCGTCGGCCCACCGCACAGCAGCCTACGCCAGTCTGTGGAGGAGCTCAACAGATTCACAGACAGCTGAAGGTGAAGATTGAAACAGGTGTCCCGAAACCCTCAAGGTTGCTCCAGCCCACCTGAAACCGGAGAAGTGCCCGAAGGCTCTGTTCGAATCTGTTGTTGGAATTTTGACTCGAGACTCTGTTCCCGGTCCAAGCTGCTTTTACCCATAACCTTGACCGGACTGGACCTCTGAGCTGACCCATGCTGACAGGTCGGTGCCTGGCCCCCTGTGCCTGGCTCTCCTCCACCTGTGCTGCCACGTCGTCGCGACCTTTGGGATGCACCAGGGGTCCAAAATCCACGCCGTACTTCCTCAGCTCAGCTTCCACTTTGCAAGTTGCTGTTCAGAAGGCCTCAGCACACAAGCATTCGCTGGCGAGGCTCTTCAAAGCCACCTTCTCCATCACTTTCTGCTCAAAGGCAGCCTTGATGCGCTTGTCCACGATGGCCCTCTTTGGGGCGATGCATGTCCTCAGGCATCAGTTGTTGAGCCTGACAAACCCTAAGACCACCAGGGACCACAAAGCAAGCTGAGCCAGGGTCTGCCCTGAGTTGGCCACGCGAGCATTCACCACGGCATCTGCAGCTACGTCTAGATCTGCGTCTGCCAGGACCGCATAGGCATCGCTGCCGCCCAGTTCTATGACGGCCTTCTTCAGTAATCCCCCTGCTTTGGCGGCGACTGCGCGGCCCGCACCCTCCGAGCCGGTCAGGGCAACTCCTGAGAAACTCGACATCAAATGGAATGGAGATAGAGATACATATCAGCGAGGCATGGTTCACGAGCCGTCCTTGCACGGAGGGGTGCTCCAGAACAGTTGACACTTGCGGCACGTCAATGATCAGAGACCGGAAGAGACCATCTGGGATGTCTAGCTGGGCAAGCATGTCCTCACATGCTAGCCCACTGCCGAAGCAATTCGGGGCATGTTTCAAAAGAACAGCATTCCCAGCCATCAGGGTAGGTATTCCCATGCGGATGACTTGCCAGATTGGGAAGTTCCACGGCATGACAGAAAGCACCGTTCCTCAGCAGGTCTGCCAGGAACGCATTAGCAGAATGCTTGACTCACTTCACCCCATGAGAAGACGTGCAGTCGAAACACCCAAGGGCTGGTAGGTCACGAAGGACTTCTGAAAGCCTGGAAGCGCCGGATATTCCGTGTCTTCAAGGAACTTTGCCCCGTTTTCGACGTACCAGTCGACCTGAAAAGCACTCTGCAAGGCATATGGCTGGGGATGCAAGCGGGTTGCAGAAATCACATTGCTCCGACTGCGAATGGGCATTCCATAAGTTGATGACAGGTCGCTAGGTACGCGCACTTCAGCACCTCTGCCTTGCCTTGCTGAACCGGCTTCCCCATTTCTTGGCAAACGAGATCCGCGACCTGCCATCTTGTGCCGGCACAGCTTCGTTCCAAAAATCGCCCTGCGAAACCGACTGAGTTTCGAGCCCAGTTAAGTTGACGCTCACACGGCAGACTGCAGCGATCTTTTCCGATTCTGTTCAGTACAGTGTAAGACAGTGTGGTCTCAGCCACATCAACTGTTGTTCGCGGACAACAGAACAGATAAGGCCCCCACTCCTGAGTATAAACAGGCTCCTGCTTGAGTGCAGTGTTCACCAGAATGCGAAAGGAAGTTGGAAGAGGATGCCTTATCCGACTCAAGCGATCCTACTATCTGCAGGGAATAGGAATTCCTATTCCCTGCCAAATCGCTGTCAGATTCACCAGACCGGCCATGCAACCACGCTTGCGGATCTGACACCGTCGATTGCATGGCCATCCCCAGCCGCTCAGCAAGCCACCTTGCTGAAGCTTTGCATCTTTACTCTTCGATGTTTGCCCCTGCGAGCGCTCTTCTCCTTCACGCCCCCGGCCGCCTCAAAAGCCTCCAGGTCCTTATCGTACTTCTCCTTCGCAGCCTTGTACTTCTGCTGATAGACTGCCTTTTCAGTCTCGCTGAGACACTTCCAGCGCAAACGTCCGAGGAGGGTATTTGGCAGCCCAGGTTTTCAACGTATCCTGGTGAAGACCTGTCGTGCTGGAAACCTGATGCAGGATTTCTAGCATGTCATGTTCCTGGCGTGCAGCCTCGTACTTCTGCTGATAGGCTGCCTGTGCAGCTTTGCAACCTCCGATGCCCTCTGGTCCGGCAGCTCCTTCTGGAACTCGGCACGCTTCTCGTTCATGAATGCACGCCGCCGAAGGGCTTTTTTCTTCTTTCGCAGGAGAAGGAGGTCCCGAATCACGTCATGGCGGTTCTCCTTCAAACGCCACGGCAAGGCTTCTTGGGCTGTGTGGCGCAGGCCATGGCTCTGGGTGACAGGGCTGAACGCATGCAGAGAGGATGCCTGAGGCGGCTCGGGCAGCTGCACGGCTTGTCCGAGGCAGTTGCATGAAGGACAAATGCCCCAGCTGCCCTGAACCAGCGAAACGTGGGCTGTCCATGGCTTTATGGCGAAATCTGAGGAGCCTCCTCCGCTCGGCTGCGCAGTGCTGTTGCCAAGGGCGCAAAGGCCGCCACCCGCTCCGAGGCACTTCGCCGGCGCCAGGCCTTCCCAGACAATTCCGAGCGGGGGACCTGTTCTGCCCGACCCCTTCAAGGCTAAGGGTTTATACTTGTTTATACAGGTTCCGAACCCTTCAGGGCGAACCGGAGTGTATGGCAGCAACGCGCTGGGTACACCGGGAGAACAGAGAAAGTTGGCTCTGAACTTTATTGTCCATGAGCGTTTCGCTTTAATTTGTCTATGTCTGCTACATGTATATGCTTTCATGGCCTGTTGAGCAGCGGCTGCGCTCGACAGGATTCTCTGCACCTCGTCGCCGCCCCTGCGTCCAAGACGGATCACATCGAGCAAACACGCCCCAAGTCCTAACTTGTGCAGCTAGGAAACATTTCTTCGTAGACTTTAAAAGTCTCCGAGGTTCGCGGATTGATCTGGGGGAACCTGATCGGGAAAGTGCTTACCATGCCTCGTTGCATTTGGCTGGTTGCAGCCGCGGATAGAATTTAAGAATCTGCGAAGTCAACGGCATCAACTGACATTTGCGAAAGCAAACTGGAACTTGGAACCTGTGTCGCCGAACTTGCCAGGAGACGTTCGCAAACTTCGGCTCCCTCGCAGTGTACACAGCCGCAGGCTCTGCGGCCGGGCTCGCTGAAGCATGGCCATCGGAAGGCTGCAAGCCGCGGACTTGTTTGCTTTATCTGCGCTAAGTGTCGTTTCCCAAAGTGCAGGCCTTTTTCATGAGCTGTTGGCAAGGCCACCAACTCTGGTGACATTCGTAATCGTTCTCATGTTCCGGCATGGTGGCAGATTGGTGGATCTGCGACGCTTCGTGGATACTAACAGAGGTCGTTGCTGCAGTGTGGCTCCATTCATCTCTGCCGCTGTGGATCGACAGCCACAACAAAAGAGCAGGAACTCAGCAATCACTGGCTGCTTTCGACGTGCAGTTGCTCTCCGTGGAGCCTTGAGTGCGGCGCAACAGCTGCTTCCTGGAAGTGAGGCGTCAGGGCTACCAGGGCTAAGGCCGTTGGCTAAAGCCCTGGGGAGGGGGGGCAAAATGGTCTCTCTTTGCTCCGAGTCCCTGACGAGCGCACGAGGGCCAGGCCGCCGGCCTCAGGGCCCCCGCCCCCACTAAGTAGTGGCCCCCAATGGTGGCCCTTTGTAAGTACAGTACGTACTCACCAGCATGTCTCTACACATCCCAAGCACAGAGCACCGGAAGGCCCAGGGCCGAGGCATGCAGCAAAGGATCCAGAAGATGCTCTTGCCCGAGCCGGATGGCCATGATAAGGTGCTGGACAGTCACAAGAGAATCGTACGTCGTCAGGTCGCAATTAGGATACCGTATTTACGCATTTGCGTCTCCTCCCCTGCCTCATGCGTAGGATGGATCTGATCCAGAAGCTGGAGGAGCATGAACGGTGACCGCTGCTGAATCGCAGCAGTGATGCAGAGAGCCTGGCACATCTGGTCCATACCCGTGCAAAATTGTATCCTTGACCCTCAATGCAACTGCCACCAAAGTCTGAATGGTACAGATCGCGGCTAACGTGCTCTTGGCAACCGAAACGTCGCGCGGCCTGCTCCTGCAAGCTCAGTCTTTCAACATAGTCGAAGGAGAGGTACCTCGATGGGAAGCACAGGGCGGCGGGTGTTTGACTTACGCGACTGGCTATCTCGTTCTTCGAAGCACCAGAACATGAACACACTGACGTACTCATCGACTTGCAGACGGCACACCCGCGCACGAGCTGCTCCTCAAATCGCACTGCCAAAAACACACATAAAGATAGCGCAAGGCTGTCCTCAATGTGTCTTTGAGACTAGACCGGCCGAGTCCTGCTTGTTCTCCAAAGCCAGCATCAGCGGCTTGCTCCCCAGCGCGGCGGGCAAAGACCCGTCCACCAACTGCCCGAGCAAATGCGAGAGTTTTTAAGAAGCTTTGGGATCCTGGATTCTGGGGTGACGTATGGTGGCTGGAACCTAGTGCTTTTGCGTCCAGAGGAAGCATCGTCCTGGGACATGCTGCCTGCATCCTCACACTTCCAGGGCCAGATCTGGACTTGTTCCTCCCTTTGTGTTCAGCTGCAGCAACTTTGCGAAGACCGGTAATGAATTGGGACCTGCAGCAACTCAAGTTCGATGTATGGCTGCTTGGAGCCCCAGCCGCCCGCACCTGATGCAAACATGAAGCAAGGGGCCTAGTGCAAAAGACACGCGTGAAAATCACTACAATGATCGCAAGGGAATGGTGAACATAGCGAACCTCAGCATGGAAATCCTGCGTTTGGGAAATGCCCCGTACTCTCGACAAACTTTCCTGTTGCAGTCAGCACGATCTACCCACCAGAAACAAACCGCAAGCCATGTTGGACACGCCGTCTTGGCGAGTTGGAAATGCATCACTGTGAAGTGGCCACAAGCATGCCTTGTGCGCTGAAGTCCTGCAGGCCTGGGCTGAGGCCGGAGTCAAATAGTCAACAAAAGGCAAGACTCGTCTTGCGACCCTCGCACAGAAACCGGATGGCTCTCTCTGTAGACTGCTCGGTAAACAATGCTTGAAATGGAGACGTCGATCTGAGTTCAAGGTGCCGTGCCTGTTGGCCGTAGGACTGCTCGATGCCGTGGCAGCCATGCCTGAAGCCGCTTCAAACCGGTAAACACCATTGCAGTCTCGGACACACGAGCCACTAGTCGACAGATGTTGACAGAGTTGCGGCCTTGTTCGGCAAATTCAGCGCTGGCTCTTCCACATCCTGGCAGTAGGAAGATCTGCGACGAATCTAAGTCTCTGAGAATGGTCCTGTGGTGCATGAACTGCACACCCACTCCAAAGCCACCTGAACCCCTGTACTCAAGCCAGCACGGGTCAAATCTGGAAGACGGTGGACTCGGACCTGTGAGTCGGAGCTGGCACAAGCCAGCAGCCTCGGAGTGCTCCAAAAGTCGCAATCTTCCAAACTGGACACGTCAAAGACATTCCCAAAAGATGGGCACGAGCACCCCGTGCCAAATTTCGCACATTGAGGTGCCCCTCTTGGTTAAAGCCCGGACGGCACGGCGAGACTGAAAGTGCAATACATCCATAGAAAAAATAAAAAAAGTCTGCATGAAACTGGAAAGGGCAGCATTCTACATGTCATGCTAACTGACCCTTGATAGGCACTCGACACATCGGGGATGGAGGCCCTCATCGGAAGCACGGCCTGCACAGGAGAGAACTCAGGGCATTGTGCAGTAGAGTCAGTAGAGGCCACACAAGCTTCTCAGCTAAGCTTTGAGTGCACCGTTCCTCCGCCAGGACGGTGCCGGAGTTCTCCAGCGTCACCTTCGCGAAAGGCCAACCGGCCACGGGATTTGCATGTCTCTCGCAGGCAGCCCACGGAGACGGCTTAGATACAAACTCAGATCGTTCTGCTGCATCTGCGTGAATCCAGTGGGATCCGACATTCCAGCTCTCCATCTGCCACAGACGTCCGGGTTAACGCTCCCAGCTCCCCTGCGCCTTCAGCTGATCTGCACTGCAGAAGTTCAGGGCTCGCAACAGCATCTCCTACAGAGGCCAAATCGCAGGACTATTCGGGGCTTGGCTCGGCAGTGCCCGGTTCAATTCGCTTCCTTCTGCCTTTCTTGCGACTGCTTCCCAAATACGCTTGCAACTCTCACTTCGGTCGATGCTCCAGGATCCACAGGCGAATTACATGAGTAAAGATCGTATCATATCATGCTGTGTCTGAAACTAACCTGTGAATGCATAAGAATATCGTGAGCATCCCTGTCACGGGGGTGTCTCGACTTGGATTCAGCAGCTGACGTGCAGCACTAAGGGAACGGTGCTGACGTGGCTGGCAGCTAGCTGTACAGTGCAGTACATCTGCCCTAGCTTCCAAGTACCGTGATGCCCCGCGTCTCGCCCCTGAGATACTTCACATCGCTCCCCTCGATCGGGCAATAGCTGGTACTTGAAAAGTTGAAACGCGACTCAAATGAGGCAGCAGCAATTGCTGCCCTGCCATGTTCAGGGCAAGATGTACGAAACACGGCTCGACGAGTCCTTGCACCCTCTGCTGCGAAGCAGGTTCTCGCTTGGCTTCAGGCACCATGGAAACTCCAGTCGAGGACCATTCAACGGTATTTTGCATTACCAAAGATGTCACTCCGGATTTTGTGCACCGCTACACCAAGACCTCTGCAGAGACCAAATAGCAATCTGCGCATCTCTGCAGGGAGCTCGGTAAAACTTTTGTGTCAGAGGCCGTTCACGAGCCACCGACACTGCCGGCGCAGTAGTTCTCACTTTCGAGGCGGCGTAATCCTTCCCGCAACTCGCGCGCCTGGCAGCTTCGGACCGCATCTGCCCATCAAAGCTTACTGGATGCACAAGCTGATCAGACTTGCACACACCTGTCACTGGACACATGACATCACATGACTTTGGCATGATTTGATGCATGTTGTGTTAATGCATCGACGCCGAACCCCACATACACGGCCTTCTGCAGTAGGCCCGCTGTGTAGCTCGTCTTCTTGGACACCTGCACCCGCGGTCTTACGTATGCATTGCTAAACAAGGTCAGTGGGCCAGTCCAAGCGGTGGACATCACAAGGAGTTAAAGCCGAATTGAGACCGCTGCTTCGTGCTGCGCATCCTCGGCAACCTGTGTCAAGTGCATCTAAACAAGAAATGCGGTCTCCCAAACAAGCTCTCGACTTCAAGCAACTTTGCCGATAAAACCCTTTTTCGTGCCAGCCACAGGTCGTCCTGGTAGATGTGACCGAGCATGATGTAGTCGTGCATCGCAGCTGCGTCCCTAATTTGGTGCCCCCGGATCGTGCTCCCATGAAAGCCCAGGTCAGCAATCTGTTCAAAAATCTCAGCCCCTGTGTTTTT